GGACAGTTCCAATAATTAATACATTGCATACTGCCTTCCTGGTGGTTATTTGTTGTACAAGATGCAAATATGATATCCTACTTACAAACACTATTAGAACAAAACCCTCTATTCCTTGAATTAAGAGAATGTAGCTATATATCTATTCTAATCATTTTGAATACACAGATACAAAATGGTCATTCATCTGTATCCCCTTTTTTTGTTTAGTTTCATCATTTAAATATTACAGATGTGTGAACTCAGCAAAATATTCCAAAATAGTCCAGTAGTCTATAATAGTATTGGGTCTTGGGGCCCTGCCCCTTAGCTCAGTTCTTTAAGTGGCTGCTTCAACAAAGCAGTCAGGGTCAGGTTGCTGTGGTTCCATCCCCACAACTCCAGCCAGCCAAACCTGCCCTGAAGGCATTTGGAGCAAAAAAAAAAAAAAAATAGTATTGGGTCTTCCACTTGACTGGCAATGTCAGAGTTGTTGACCTGAGTCCCCTACAGCTCAACATAATAACATGGCTTTATTTCTTGTACTTTGCTTTTATGCTTTTATGCTGGGTGGTTAAGACCAAGATAAAGCAAGACCTATGCAACAAGTTGTCGTCAGTTTTTAATGGGGCATGTGGATGATAAATTATCTGTGAAGGCACTTCCATTCTGTCTGAATGAGGTGTCCTATTTTCAGTACATGGTGGCTCTCAGCTTGGGAAGTTACTGCTGACAGAGATGGGCTCTTTGTTGGTGATGTCACTTAAATTTTAATTCTCAACCCACTAATCCCTTTCTTACAAAAGCTTCACTACAGGGGCCGGGGAGATGGCTCAGTAGAATAAGCACTTGTCCAGCAAGTGCAAGGGCCTGAGTTCAATCCCCAGACCCCCCCCCAAAAAAAAAAAAAATAGTTTCACTATAGGTTGGTAAGATAAGTAATGTAAACCGTCTTGGATCATAGGGATAACACTGGAAAGTGGTAGAAAGAGAAGAAACAGAGTACTTTTTTAAAAAATACAGGGTACTTGGTTTGGAAGGAGTGTAGAATTGAATGAAACACCTAGCGCACAAGCCATGAGACTAAACTATTTGAATAAAAGGATAAAAAGAAACATTACTCTGTGTAGCACAGTTTGATCTTATAGTATTCTATGTGTGGTGGATTGACAAATGATGGCTAATGTATAACACCCAGCTGAACTGAACCAGCATGGTACTGGGTGGGGGAGGCCCACCTGAGGATTGATGTTGTCTGTAAGAGGCAGAACTGGAGAGGAAGAGGCACTCTCCAGAAGTGTGGGGAGCTGTTGGTTTTCCTGGAGGAGCTTGTCATGCTGGCTTTCCTGATGAACTCAGCTGCTGTCATCATTGAAGGAGTGCGGGACCTTACTGTCGCTGAGAGTGGCTACAGTTCCCTTTGGGGCAGCTCTGGTCCTCGCTTTTGAGCATCACTTTCTAGCTCTGAAGAAGATGGTAGTGCAGTGTTCAGTCACCTAGAGGAGCCTGTCACGTTGGCTTTCCTGAAGGAGCTTGACTGTTATCATCATCAGAGGAACTTGTGACCTCACTGTCACTGAGGATGGCTGTGGTACCTGGCAGGGGAGCTCGAGTCCTTACCTTGAGTATTGTTTCCTGGCTCCAGTGCAGATCCCTCAGCCTGCTAGCACAGATCCTTCATCCCACTGGCATAGACTTTCTAGCTTCCATCACTGACCTTTCCCAGCACAGGTCTGTGAAACAAGCCTGCATGAGGCATTGTCATGGGCTCTAGACCTCCAGTTGGACTCATGGCGGGGGTGGGGGGAACATTGTTAAAGGCTCTAGGTCTTCAGCTGGACTCATGCAGGACACTGCTGTGGAATTCCGACTCAGTTGGATTCTTTGATCTTTAGTATGTGGACAGGTTTCCTATAATCTTTTTACATATGACTTTGGGTGACTTACAAAATCATTTTATAAACTATGTGTCCTATATTAAATTGTCCCCTTTTGCCTTTTGGCTCTCTGAGCAGCACCATGGTGGTAGGCAAGAACAAGCACCTTACGAAAGGTGGCAGAAAAGGAGCCAAGAAGAAAGTGGTTGATCCATTTTCTAAAAAAGACTGGTATGATGTGAGGGTGCCAGCTATGTTCAACATAAGAAATATTGGAAAAACACTCATCACCGGAACCCAAGGAACCAAAATTGTATCTGATGGGCTCAAAGGTCGTGTGTTAGAAGTGAGCCTTGCTAATCTGCAGAATAATGAAGTTGGGGCCAGGGAGATGGCTCAGTAGAATAAGCACTTCCCTGGCAAGTGCAAGAGGCTGAGTTCAATCCCCAGTTTCGCAAAAAAAAAAAAAAGAATAATGAAGTTGCCTTTAGAAAATTCAAGCTAATTACTGAAGGTGTTCAGGGCAGAAGCTGCCTAACTTCCATGGTATGGACCTCACCTGGGACAAAATGTGTTCCATGGTCAAAAAATGGCAGACCATGATCAAAGCTCATGTTGATGTCAAGACTACCAATGGTTATTTGCTTCAACTGTTCTGTGCTGGCTTTACTAAAAAACGCAACAATCAGATACGGAAGACCTCTTACGCTCAGCACCAACAGGTCTGCCAGATCCGGAAGAAAATGATGGAAATCATGACCCGGGAGGTGCAGACAAATGACCTGAAGGAAGTGGTCAATAAACGGATTCCAGACAGTATTGGGAAAGACATAGCAAAGACTTGCCAACCTATCTACCCTCTTCATGATGTCTTTATCAGAAAAGTAAAAATGCTGCAGAAGCCCAAGTTTGAATTGGGAAAACTCATGGAGCCTCATGGTGAAGGTAGCAGCTCTGGAAAGACTGCCGGAGATGAGACTGGAGCTAAAGTTGAACGAACTGATGGATATGAACCACCAGTGCAAGAGTCCATTTAAGATCCAGATTTTTAATAGTGATAAAGTCCTATTTGTGATGAAAAAATAAATAAATAAATTGTCCCCTCTTGCAAACCCCCAAATTATAACATATTTGGTACCAGAGAGATGTGGTCATTGTTGTGGCTAAGCCTGACCATGTGCTTCAGGAGCTTTTGGGAATGGTTTGTGGGAAGAGTTTGGAAAGGTTTGGAGATGTTACCAGAAAAAATAGAACTGGAATACCGTAGGCTGTTCTATATGGGAGAGTCTGCTCAGATCTCAGAAAACCAAAATGCTGATAGAAACCCTGCAGGCGAAGACCAGGTTCAGGAGATTTCTACTACAAAGGACTGCATTGGTTGTTAGACTCACTGATACATGTTATGGCTTGGCAGAAAGTTTGTCTGCAATTTTGTTCATGTCCAGACATTCCTAAGACTGAGATTAAGGTAAAGTAGCAGACTAATCTGGCAAAAGAAATTTCAAGGCAGTCTAATGCTGAGCCAGGGACATGGCTATTGTTGGGGGCTTTTAGCCAGATTCTGTGTTGAGAATCAAGAGCAAAGAGCCCAGTAGGATGGTTTAAAATGTGAGTTTGGCCAGAAAGGAAGCTCTAGTAAAGCTGTGGGCTGTAAGAATAGAGCTAAGGAGATTTCAATTGCTGAGCAGAACAGGAGAATATAAAAGCTGGCCTGAGAATATGACAAGAAACAGCAAATCTCTACCCTTGTAGCCTCAAAACTGCAACAGGGAAGGACTGCTTTGAGGAAAAAGTTGCGGAGCATTATGTTCCAGAATGGCAGCTGTACCGGGTTCCGGAATGGCAGCAGCATAGATAATTTGCTCTGCAGAATCAGGTTCAGAGTGCTCAACAATCCAGGCTTTCAATTCCTACAGCCAAACAAGAAGAAAGCCTGGCTACTGCTCCAGCTGGCAGCAGACTTTGGCAGTATAATAGTGTACTAGTATGGTACTAGTTTTAGGTGCTTGGAGAATGCAGGAGTCGTGTGGAGTTACGATGACTTCCTTCCCAATTTCAGAAGAAGGCCAAAGAGGCCAGGCAGTGTGCTCCTTAGAGGGCAGGGTGTGAAGTTATGAGGATGATGCCAGAGATGCAGTGGAGACCCCAGAAGTTTGAAGAAGCCAGGAACATGGATTCTCTACGGAAAACTGCAAGGAACAAGCAAAGCAGGCCTAAGAGAAAAGCCATGGAAGCTACAACCACCAAAAGTACCATGGAGGCAGAGCCACATGGTGCACACAATTTGCCACAGATTGCCTCAGATGTTGCATGTGGAACTACAGGACTTTATGTTTGTTCTGCTTGATTTTAGACTTGCTTTGGTCTCAATGCTTTGTATCCCATTTTTACCTTTTAGAATGGTAATGTCTTGTGTCATTGCATGTTGGGAGTGTTTAAGTTTTTATTTGTACAGGGACTCACAGCTAAGAGTTTGTCTTAGATCTTGGAGGAGACTTGAGACTTGGACTTTTTAGCAATGCTGAAACTATTGGGACTTCAGCAGTTCTTCCAGATGAGCTAAAATGCCTTTTGCATCAAGGAATGTGCTGAGTCCTTAGGGAGACCAGAGGCAGAATGTTGGGATTTGTGTTGAGATATCCCCCCAAAGCGTCATACAGCCGTGGGGCAGGCCTGTAGAGTTTGTGATTGATTCATGGCTCAATGCTGTGATTAGGGGTATGAGTGCTACACCCGGCCTGGGGCAGGTAGCCTGCATAAAATGTGAGGGAAGGAGAGAGGCTTGCTCTCAGCTCCTCCCTTTTTGCTCTTGTTGCTTTGCTGTTCTCTGCTGCTGTGAACTGTTGCCCTCTGCCATGTGCCACTCTGCCTTGGAGCCAGCTGATTATAGACAGAAACCTCCACCAACTGTAAGCTAAATAACCTTTTCTTCCTTAACTTTGAGTGTCAGGTATTTTGTCCCAACAACAAGAAAAAAGTAACCAAGACACTTGGTAACTTCCTGTGATGAAGATGACTTGGCTGCGTGGTTTGGTAGCAGTGGCCTCTAATAGTGTGTGCAGCCTGCTGTGTGTGGCGTGGAGGTGCAGGTGATGGCTGGCAGGAGCTTTGCACAAGTGCAATTCTCTTTCTTCTGATTTCCAGATTTTCACCTGATGGAAGACTAATTGTGTCGTGTAGTGAGGATAAAACTGTTAAAATTTGGGATACCACAAATAAGCAGTGTGTTAATAACTTCTCAGACTCCGTAGGGTAAGTCCAGTGTTCTTGTACATCTGTATGTGTCAGTCTGCTAAGCAGACATTTCATTGTAGCAGTTTAAATAGAGTACTGCAGTTGCTACAGTAGGCCATCTTACTGCTTCTTTGTAGGTTTGCAAATTACGTGGACTTTAACCCAGATGGTACATGTATAGCCTCAGCAGGATCTGATCACACGGTGAAAATCTGGGATATAAGAGTGAACAGATTATTGCAGCACTATCAAGGTAACACCTCCTCTCACAAGTAACTTCAGTCATTGAATGGCTGCTCTGGAAAAGGCTGACTGTCCTTAGTGCTGTGGTTTGGTTCTTTCTGGGGACAGGAGCTGCATTCAGGCTGACTAGAGGGGACAGGGAGGCAAAGCAGCTTTAAGGATGAGCAGAGGGCTGCAGAAGCAGTTACTGTGGGACCTTCAGACTGGTGGTCTGCACTGCAAAGTAACTCAAAAGTAGAAATCTTCTCTGAGTTCTAAATTACAAAGAGTTACATGAGGGCTGGGGAAATGGCTCAGGAGAATAAGCACTTCCCTGGCAAGCGCAAGGGCCTGAGTTCAATGCCCGGTTCCACCAAAAAGAAAGAAAAAGAAACCTACATTTGCCAGGGAGATGTCTCAGTGGAATAAGCGCTTCCCTGGCAGGCGCAAGGGCCTGAGTTCAATCCCCGGTTCTGCCAAAAAAAAAAAAGAAAAAAGAAAGAAAGAAAAAAGAAAAAAAGCCCAGCAAAATACAAAGAGTTACATGAACCTAAGTAAATGTTAACACTGCTAAAAAATACAAAAAACAAAAAACTTACCATGCCTATGACTCTATATTGAAACTAAAAGAAGAGTAAACTGGTTTTCTTGGTTTATATTTGGATTTATATTAAATTACTGTTGCTGTTTCACTTGACTTTAATAATAGCTACCACTTCAGTGTTTACTGTGCAGCTGATGCTGTGCCAATTCATTCCTCAGAACATTTTTAATACAGATCATTATTACCCTCATTATAAAAATAAAGAAACTGAGACTAAGGAGGGTAACTTGCTCAAACAATTGCCAGAACTGATTTAGGTCTTTCTGCTCACAGCAGTGCGAGGAGAAGCAAACTTGCTCTCTGCACTGTACTGCCTCCTGTTGGAGGATGCTGTCCAGAAACAAGTTCTCAGGTGCAGTGACCAGGATGCCCACGCTCTTCACACGTCTCCACAGCTGTCGCTTCTCACTCCCAAGTCCCTAATTTCTTACTGCATTTGAGGCCAGGTCATATACCTTATATGAGCTGGTAGTAATTGACTCTTGATTGCATTGGTAATATACCCAAAGACTTTATGCTTACATGGTCAGTAAGATCATCTTTACGTGACAGTCTTACTTTTAAAGTCATTCTGTCTCATTTACAGCAAGCAAGATAGTGCCAAAGTATTTATTCATTTTAGTGAGCCATTGTCTCTAATTGATTATAATTCTCAAAGTAATTGCTAGCCATGTTGTTACATTGAGCTGTAGGGGACTCAGGTCAACAACTTCTGACATTGCCAGTCAAGCGGAGGACCCAATAATATTATGGGCTACTGGACTATTTTGGAATATTTTGCTGAGTTCCCACACCTATAATATTTAAATGGTGGAACTAAACAAAAAAAGGGAATACAGATGAATGACCATTTTGTATCTGTGTATTCAAAATGATTAGAATAGATATATAGGTATATTCTCTTAATTCAAGGAATAGAGGGATTTGTTCTAATAGTGTTTGTAAATAGGATATCATATCTGCATCATGTACAATATGCAATGTGTTAATTATTGTAACTATCCTACCAATTTGATTTGAAACTGTCTCATTACTATTTGTTTCTCAATAAAATTATAGAAAAAAAGTAATTGCTGGGCTGGTGAGATGGCTCAGTGGTCTAAAGCACCTACTTAGAACAAGCTTAGCAAAGCACAGGGACCACGGTTCAATCCCCAGCACCACATGCCAGCCAGCCCCACCCCCTGGTGGGCTGAGCTGGCCACACACACACACACACACACACACAAATAAATAAATAAAAATTAAAAAAAAAGAAAAAAAGTAATTGCTAATGAGACAAAGGTGCATCTTTTAGAATTAAGAATTGTTCTCCAAAGGAAAGAAAAACACTGAAGATTATAAAAAAAAAAAAAGTTATATTGAGGCACTCTATCGAATATCATGTAATAAGTAAATAGTTGTTGTTTGAATTTTTGCCTTTGTTTTCTGCAATTTAGTTCACAGTGGTGGAGTTAATTGTATATCATTCCATCCTTCGGGTAATTACCTCCTCACGGCCTCTTCAGATGGAACACTTAAGCTTCTGGATCTCTTAGAAGGAAGACTCATATACACGCTTCAAGGACATACGGTACTAAGACTAAGGATTTTACTTTTTAAATAATATATATTTAGAGTTTGACCCATTTTATGATATGCCTTTATTATTTTCCAGGTGTAGCACAAATTGCTGCTAGCACTAAAACTTTTTACTTTGAGGACTGTTTCTAAGCTATTTTGTCAAAATCAGTGGCCATTAATTAAACAGTGCTGTCTTCTTCAGTATGTGGCACCGGCTGACGGGTGAAACAGTGGTGATAGGCTTATTTATTACTTCTGATTTCCCTCGTGCTAAGGCTGTCGCAGTGGCTCTCACACAGCTGCTCACTCCATTTGCTAATTTGAAAAGAAATGTGGTGAGCATGGCCCAGCACCCCTCACGTCCTGCCTTGGCGGTGAGCCTGTCCTTGCTGTTTTCCTCGGGTGCCGCTTAGGCAGAGGCTTGCCTTCCTCCATGATTGCACTCAAGCCTGACTCATTCTGTGTGTCACTTCTAGAGAACCCATTTACTTTAGAGGTAAAAGCCATATTTCTCTACAACCTTTTATTGGTAAGAAAGCTGTCACCGTGGCCTATGTGCCTTAATTCTTTGTAATATTTCTCAGCTGCCTTAGAGCCAAGTGGGGCAGGCAAAGTGAGACTTTTTTGTATATATGATCTATATAAAGTATTCCTCCTTTGTGGGTAGTCAACCTGCTTTGAATTTTTAGAACATATTTTCGTAACATACTCGCCTAGTATATGCTGCTTCTATCTAGAAATAGATGGACTCTGTGGTCTAGAAGAGAAGGGGCTCTCTCTGCCTTTGTGTATCCTGCCTGGTCTCCTGCTTTGCTTTATCGCTTGTTCTGCAGCCCTGGAAGGCGAAGCAGAAGTAGACTCTCCAGCTCAGATATATGCACACATATAGACTGAGTGTGAATAAACACAGCCAGGAAGAATGGCCAAGGATTGAAATATCCATGAAAGAAGTACAAAGCAATAGGAAAAAAAAACTATACACAAAAGAAACTTTTCAGGGTAGACATGAAGCTGTTACAAAGCTACAATAACCCAAAGCCACAGGACGATCTACTTGAAAAATTTGGAATGTTTTCCCCGTAGGTTAAGGATACATTTTAAAAATAAACAATATATTAGTATTTTTAGGATGAGAGTAATCCCTCCTATCTTGACTGAAAAAACTAGCCTACAGGCTGTTCATCTTGTGACTGTGCCAAGTACAAGGCCACAGTGAATCTCTCAGTTGAATTTCAGGTTCTGTCATCTCTCACCTAGATAATTATTGTGACTTCCTAACTGGCCTCCAAGCATTCATTTTTACTGCAGTTTGTCATTCTCATGATTGTGGTTTTCAGCAGTCACAGCGTTCCTCTGGTGCCAGCTCCTACAAGTCGACCGGCACACTCACTGTTGGCCCTCAGGCGGGGAGTGCAGTGGAGGTCACCATGCCCACAGCGGCCTCTGGGCAGTGTTGCCCCCTTTGCCACACATGGACCTACCAGTCCCTGCCAGTGCCTAGCTGGCAGGGTGCAGAAAGCCAGAAATATTACCCATTTCTCTGTGTACAAATTTGTCTTTAAAGAGGAAAAAAATGATTTTCTTTCTGAATTTTAGTACAGGTATCTTTTTTGGTTAAACACCTGTGTGTTCTAATACAATCGGGTTGACTCTGTCTTTACCAGCATTCGTTGCCAGCACCTAGATGTGTTCTGTCAGTCTTACTGCATAAATAGTTGGTAAAAGTTAGGATGAAAAGTTGATACTTACAGTCCTGATGGCCATGAGAAAACACCTCCAAGCACTTGTGTTTTGTCTCCCCTTTTTTCTTAGGGCCCTGTCTTTAGTGTTTCATTTTCAAAAAGTGGAGAGCTGTTTTCATCAGGAGGTGCGGATACACAGGTTTGTACACCTTTCAACTCCCTCTCTGATTTGAAACCTAAAGGAATCTTTGACCTCAGCTATGATTTTTATAACCGTAACCAGCTAGCTTATGTATGTTAAGATGATTATCAATGGGTTTATATTTTAATTTAGTGACAGGAATTCTGCTGTCTGATAGCAGAAATACTTTCAGTTCCAATAGTTTTTAATTAGGTAATTATTTTCTTTTGTTCATTTTTACACTGAATTATACATGAAACTCACACTTACTCAATGAGGGGAGTGGCTCTTTTATTCCTTCAAATAAAGGAATTATTTCCTTTATCAGTATGTCTTCTTTCTTCAAATGTTAAGCTTCTTGTAGATGGTCCATTATTTGAGGCAAATGGGCATTTACTTGAAATGAGCCAGATTTATGTTATGTATTTATTCATTCTTTGTTTTTGCAATGCTGGGGATTAAACCCAGGCCCTTGGTACTGAGCTACATCCCAGAGCTTGTGGTGGTGGTGGTGGTGGTGGTGGTGGTAGTAGTAGCAGTAGCAGTAGCAGTAGCAGTAGCAGTAGTAGTAGCTGTAGTAGTAGTAGTAGTAGTAGTAGTAGTAGTAGTAGCTGTAGTAGTAGTAGTAGTAGTCATATTTTTATTATTATATTTTGAGACAGGGTCTTTGGGCTTCAATTGGCATTCCTCGTGTCTCAGCCTCCTAGAGTGCTCAAATTTCACAGATTTATTAAATAAAGTGATGATCAGCCCCCATGTGGTAGTGCATACCTATCATCCCAGCTGCTCTGTAGGCTGAGGCAAGAGGACCATAGATTTAAGGCGAGCCTGGGTGGGCAGTATAGCAAAAATCTATCTTAAAAAAAGACTGAGGATGAGCTTGGTGGCAGTGCGCCCTAATGACACTACTGAAATGTGTGTGTTCATGTGTAACCTTTCTGACTTTTTTGAGGGGTGAGTCTATTCATTTTTTAAAGTCTCATTTCTGTTGTTTGTACATGCAAGTCAGTAAATGCCAATGTCATGAACTTTTCATAGGTCTTATTATGGAGGACTAACTTTGATACATTGCAAAGTAAAGATCTTAAGAGAAATCTCAAAAGACTGCATTTTGATTCGTCACCACACCTTCTTGATATCTATCCAAGAACACCACATCCCCACGAGGGAAAAATTGAGACTATCGAAGTGAGTATTTTGTACTTACTTGTCCTACTTTCTATAAACCGTATGGGCTGTGAAAAGTCTATAAAACCTAGTCCTGCCCTAAAACAGGAGCACCTGGATAAAGTCAGTTGTTTCCACTAATAAAATGAAACTATGTGCATACGGTAGTATGTAATAATGTTAAAAGGCTCTTATATCCACTTCTTGGAAGCCTAGAAGTAAAGCTCAGAAATTGTGTTAACAGTAATTGGAAATAAGAAATTAAATTAAAGGCCTCCAGTGACTCCAAATTCTGTACCAGCTTCATAGTCTAGCTTTTTAGGGTGCTCACATATGAATATCATGAACAGTACTAAAGGGCAAGGACTTTTACTGTAGTTATTGCAGAGAGTATCTTGAAATCCTTTTATAGCAAAAAACTATTCTTATGAACAGTAAAAGGATTTAGGCATTAAACTAATAACTAGGACTTTCATGTCATACATACATTTTTAGATATATTATGTATTTGATTATAGGAATTTTATGGTTTGCTTTGTTTTTGTGGCACTGGGAGTTGAACCCAGGGCCTTCATGTTGCGCTGTCCCCCAGGTCTTTCCTTCCACCCCTTTCCTTGAGGACAGGCATTGCTAAGTCACTGAGCTGCCTGCTCAGGTCTCGCACTTGCATCCTTCCTTCTCTGGGTCCTGGAGAGCTGGAACATAGGCCCGTGCTGCTGTGCCCTGCTCAGCCCTGGGCTTTTTTTGGCACGTTCCTTTAGGTCTTGTAGATTTAGGTGTCCTCTCCTCAGGGAAATCCATCTTTGCTAGGCATTTAGCTGCTGTTAGCCTGTTTTTGTTGGATTCTTCTGAAATCCTTTCCTAAGAACTGATGGGAGAAATTCTTCTTACCTAGCTAGCTGACACTCTTAAATCACTGCAGAGCCCTTCTGTGCTTTCAGAAGGGACATGAGCTCTGAGGCATCTCCTGGGGAGGGCATGCGGCCTCCGAGCTGCCCAGGTGCTGTCCAAGACCTGCTTCCTGGGCGCTCCATGTTGCTCCCAGTCCCTTCTCTAAGCTTGTTTTCTTTTGTCCTGGTCTTTGTCTTGGCTCTCTGTGTATTAGGTGTTTTTTTTCCTCTTTTCTTTTATGTTGTTTGGCTGTTTTTACATTTTTGTTTAATCCAGCCATATCTTGGGATTTCTGTTACAGTTTCTTTCTTGGTAGTGCTCATTTTCAATTCTTGGCTGTAATTTTTATCATTTCTTACTCTACTTCTGTACTTCTAAAGTAGCAGCCCTTGTGCTTTACTATTTCCTCATGCTTCTTCTTGTATCTTCACTTTTTCTTTTATCCTTTTAAGAAGGCATATAACATTGTTGATCTCATGTGATCGCATATGTTCATAAAAAATAAATGTGAAATACATTTTAACTTGATTATTTCTTTCTTGTGTTACCAAAGCTGGTGTTTTCCCCTGCACGCTTGGTATGCTTTTATTTTCGCACTTCCGTTGCATGGCAGGCTTCATCAGGAGAAGAGGTCCTGCCGCCTTGTCACCCGCTCAGGCCCGTGCCAGAGCACAGGTCACAGAGCTGCCGGCCAAGCCTGGCCACCTCCTTGGTCAGGGGTATTTCCATGATACCAGGCTCCCTCCGCACAGAAACAAAAGCCATTTTCTCTGACTTACCGTCTGCAACAGCTCAGTTAAGAGAGCCAGACCTTCTTTGAAATGTCAACAAGCTGTCTAAGTAGCTCTAGTCTGACTGGACAGCCAGGAAACCGTAAAACCAACTGGGTCACTTTGTCTTGCGAGGTCAGGCTGACCCAGGCCACTCAAAGCCTCGCGGTTGTAGTTTTCACATGTACTCTTAGGTCCAATGAAAGCAGCCTTTTCAGCATGGAATTAGAGTTCTGTTACACTGCACAGAGTGCTGAGCATTGTTGCTGACTTCTTTGTGGCCTTGAGGAGGGAACTCAGTTTAAGTGATCTCTAAGCTTTGTGGTTGCATAACTAGATGCACAGTGTGACTTACTTTTATAAAACACTACCAGGGGCTGGTGAGATGGCTCAGTGGTCTAAAGCACCTACTTAGAACAAGCTTAGCAAATCACAGGGACTGAGGTTCAATCCCCCAGCACCACATGCCAGCCAGCCCCGCCCCCTGGTGGGCTGAGCTGGCCACACACATAAATAAATAAATAAAATAAAGATTAAAAAAAAAAAAAAAAAAAAAAAAAAAAAAAAAAAAAAAAAAAAAAAAAAAAAACACTACCAGATCCCATGATATGAAGTACAAGAGAGAAAGATTCTTTGTTTGAATAACCAACTGTTCAGTTTTTTAAAATCTCATTATAAAGCAAGGTACAAAGTTTTAACATGTTCTTGCAGCTTAAACCACTAATAGACCTAGTCACATGTATCAGTGTTTAAGGAAGGTGATCTCACATATGCTATTTTGGAAATGTTTAAAAACTGCAAAAACTTTTTTTTTTTGGTGGTACCAGCGAGTGAACTCAGGACCCTGCACTTGCTAGGCAGGCGCTTATTCTATTGAGCTATCTCCCTGGCCCACTTAAGTATTCATGATTTAAAGAAAGTGAATATCAATAAAATCTGTGGAATACATAACATCTTGGTGATTTTTTTCTTTTTCTTTGTCTTTTTGTGGTAACATGAGCACTTGATCTTGAACTTGAAGCAAGATAGTGGGCCTGTGATTTCTGTCTCATGTTTTCTGGAAGGCTCACTTGAGCTTTGAGTCTCATCTTCTGGATGAAACTCTTCGATGTTTTGCCACCCACTCGCCAGCCTTAAGTGCTTTGCTTGTTCGGCGGTGGACAGTCCTTCAGAGTCCCGCCGGCTTGATGCGCATCTAGAATTCCTGCGCAGTGGAGCAGATGACGCCAGACTAGCAGGCCGCGTGCAGCAAGGTGCGAGGTGCTGACCGGCTTTGGGGGCAGGCCCTCCGGGGTCCTCTCTGCTGGGCCGGCTCTGTGCCTGCTGTCTCGGCTGGCTCCTGGCCTGAGCACTGTGTCTGAAATAAAAACCCTAAAATCAGGAATACCCTCTTCCTCTCCTCCTCCTCCTTTCCTTTGGAAGAAGCTCAGTGTTTGCACAAGAGGTCTTGACCCAGCCCAGCTGTCCCCTGTGTGTCGCTGGTTTGTGCTGACTCTTTTTCTTCATGGTGTCACAGCTGAATGCACTGTCCCAGCCCAGAGCAAAGGAGCTTTGCTTTCAGAAGGACAATGTAGTGCACGTGCAGGTATTTTTCTGCTGTGCAGTGCTTTTCCTTTTGCATATTTGAAGAAGACATTAAAGCTTCTCAGGGAGAGTGATAGATCTTGGTGACAGTAAGGCATTAAAGCAGTTACTTCAGGGGATTTGCAGAATATTACAAGAAAGGATACTAGATAAATAGAGTTTATTAATTAAAAAATTGCCTTGATGGTTTTCAGTTTTATAATGGCCATTAAGATTATCTGAACCTACAAATTTGTACGTGAAATTTTATGTCACTCAGCAGAAACCTGTCCTTTAACTTAACCAAATATTTGTATATTAATAATTTATGGGGGCTGGGTAGAATAAGCGCTTGCCTGGCAAGCACAAGGGGGCCTGAGTTCAATCCCCAGTTCTGCAAAATAAAGAAAGTCTGGTCATGATTTACTGTGAAAAACTACAACTAGTCTTAGATATGTTTTTTTTCTCAGTCGTCTAATGAAATTTAAAACATTTCCATTTTGGATAAAAATGATATTTTGTATTTTAATTCTGAGATATATGCTTATACTGGGGCCGGGGAGATGGCTCAGTGGAACAAGCGCTTCCCCAGCAAGCGCAAGGGCCTGAGTTCAATCCCCGGTTCTGTACAAACAACTTCTTACAAGATATATGCTTATACTGTTTCAGGCCTCAATAAGTGGCCTATAACGAGTACTTAATTATATGTAAATGTTTTACATAAACTATTTAATATTTTTAGATTCCTGTATATGTACTATTTTTATCCACCTGAGAAACTGAGGCATCTCTAGCAAGTGTGGGCACTAGAATTTTAACCCAGGCACTCTGCTTGATTCTACATTTTTAACCACTTCGATGTAATACTGTATGTCAGTACAACAAAAATTAAATTCCACCCAGTCAACAATTCAAGTACATTTTACAGAACAGCGGTGAACAAGAAGGGCATGTCCCGCCCTCCGCACCTGCAGCGGCGGTGCGCGGGTAGCGCAGCCGCTCACTCGGGTGGTGGCCCCCCAGCACGGCCGGCCCTCATCCCGGAGCCCCAGCTTTGGAACCCCCTGCACCCCACCCCACCCCCGTAGCACCTGAGAACCTGCCGGCCTGAGCTAGCCCACACACTGCTGCAACCGAGCCACCACGCGTGACAGCTGCCCCTTGGTTAGGGGTTTCCGTGCATACAGAGGACCAAGGGTTCTTGCAGATGAGAGGTTTTTGTATATGCTTTCCTTGCCATTTAGATTTTTTTTAAAGCAGTTCCAATTTCAGAGGGTGAAACTGCATTTTACTTTCATTGGTAAACATTTTCATACCTACACTAGGTGGCAGTAGATCCAAAAGAAAAAAATGTCCTCCGCTGCCTGGACCGCTAGCCTAAGATCGTAGCAACAGGAAGTTGCCCCAGGTGCTTTGGGGTCGGTGTGCTTTTGGCTTAAACTCCAGACCCTGCACTCACCGGGTAGGAGGAAGCGGCTGTGCTCGCGGTCCGCGCTGTGGGGCAGCCGGAAGGCGGCTGAGCGCCAGCCCAGGGTCCCCCCTCGCCCGCTCCGCGCCCGCTGCCAGGCCCGGAGC